GTAGCACACCTTGGATCTTGATTCTTTCCATGAGTACGGTCAAATGGCATTTTATTCTTGAATTTTAATGACCCCCATCTAAGCGTAAACACTGTGACTATGTTCCTATGAACTATGGTCGATGGGGAATATAAAATAGCAGAGTCATATGAGAGTAACATGATACTGATGTTTCTATTGCCCCTGTATTATATCTGCTGCTCAATTAAAGCTCTGCCCCACTCAGTCCATGAGTGTCTAAATCTCCATTACCTACCCACATCTCCCTTCAACAATTTCCTTTGAGTTTCTGGACCTAAAAAGTGAGATCAACCAAAATATATTATATGGAGAACCATAAACATTTTGTGAAAGTCTCACTCAAGCCTAAGATAGGAGGCAAGGTGGGTGTAGGAGCCAGTGTTAATGCTTGGAGTCAGGTGGAGGCTATTGCTACTGACGTTCTGATTCTTAACAGTTAGTCCCTGTTCACCCTCTGCTGGAAATTCTTAGAAAAGCAAGTGAAGCTAAGTTATCACTCTCAAGTCAGAAGAGAAGAGAACTCAGGGTGCTAATACCTTTGAATGGAAGCCTGGAAAAAAAGCAAAGGATGTGAATGAACCCAGCTTTCACATGACCAACTTATCCCAAAATACACTAACATTGCCTTAACCATATGTTCATTCTTTCTACCATTACTGAATACCTGCTCTGTGCCAGACACTGAACTGGGCTCTGGGGCTACAAATATGAGTTGTAAGGAGCACCCCTTTCACCTGCCAGCTAAGTGTCACTTCCTGAAATAATGTGCCCATAGAAGTACCGAGCTAGCCATAGTAAGCCCAAGAATGCAGGTGAAAGGTGAGCCTACTTAAGGTTCATTTGTAATATCTGTGGAGCCCCCAAAGGGGGATAAAGTCATAGGCTTAAACCAGCCTTAATAACTGGTTCTGTGCCATGGTTTTGAAGCGGAAGAGAGAAATTAATCCAATGACTTTCCAATGTGGCCAGAAAATCATTAGTAGCTAAAGAGTGGGAAAATTCAGAGATAAGGGAGGTTAGAATGTGAATTCAAATAGGAGAAAAAACATATGATCATCTCAATAGATGCAGAGAAAGCTTTTGACAAAATTCAACACCCATTTATGATAAAAACCCTGCAGAAAGTAGGCATAGAGGGAGCTTTCCTCAACATAATAAAGGCCATGTATGACAAACCCACAGCCAACATCATCCTCAATGGTGAAAAACTGAAACCATTTCCACTAAGATCAGGAACAAGACAAGGTTGCCCACTCTCACCACTCTTATTCAACATAGTTTTGGAAGTTTTAGCCACAGCAATCAGAGAAGAAAAGGAAATAAAAGGAATCCAAATCGGAAAAGAAGAAGTAAAGCTGTCACTGTTTGCAGATGACATGATACTATACATAGAGAATCCTAAGGATGCTACCAGAAAACTACTAGAGCTAATCAATGAATTTGGTAAAATAGCAGGATACAAAATTAATGCACAGAAATCTCTGGCATTCCTATACACTAATGATGAAAAATCTGAAAGTGAAATTAAGAAAACACTCCCATTTACCATTGCAACAAAAAGAATAAAATATCTAGGAATAAACCTACCTAAGGAGACAAAAGACCTGTATGCAGAAAATTATAAGACACTGATGAAAGAAATTAAAGATGATACAAACAGATGGAGAGATATACCATGTTCTTGGATTGGAAGAATCAACATTGTGAAAATGACTCTACTACCCAAAGCAATCTATAGATTCAATGCAATCCCTATCAAACTACCACTGGCATTTTTCACAGAACTAGAACAAAAAATTTCACAATTTGTATGGAAACACAAAAGACCCCGAATAGCCAAAGCATTCTTGAGAACAAAAAATGGAGCGGGAGGAATCAGGCTCCCTGACTTCGGACTATACTACAAAGCTACAGTAATCAAGTCAGTATGGTACTGGCACAAAAACAGAAATATAGATCAATGGAATAGGATAGAAAGCCCAGAGATAAACCCATGCACATATGGTCACCTTATCTTTGATAAAGGTGGCAGGAATATACAGTGGAGAAAGGACAGCCTCTTCAATAAGTGGTGCTGGGAAAATTGGACAGGTACATGTAAAAGTATGAGATTAGATCACTCCCTAACACCATACACAAAAATAAGCTCAAAATGGATTAAAGACCTAAATGTAAGGCCAGAAACTATCAAACTCTTAGAGGAAAACATAGGCAGAACACTCTATGACATAAATCACAGCAAGATCCTTCTTGACCCATCTCCTAGAGTAATGGAGATAAAAACAAAAATAAACAAATGGGACCTAATGAAACTTCAAAGCTTTTGCACAGCAAAGGAAACCATAAACAAGACCAAAAGACAGCCCTCAGAATGGGAGAAAATATTTGCAAATGAATCAACTGACAAAGGATTAATCTCTAAAATTTACAGGCAGCTCATGCAGCTCAATAACAAAAAAATAAACAACCCAATCCAAAAATGGGCAGAAGACCTAAATAGACATTTCTCCAAAGAAGATATACAGACTGCCAACAAACACATGAAAAAATGGTCAACATCATTAATCATTAGAGAAATGCACATCAAAACTACAATGAGATATCATCTCACACCAGTCAGAATGGCCATCATCAAAAAATCTAGAAACAATAAATGCTGGAGAGGGTGTGGAGAAAAGGGAACACTCTTGCACTGCTGGTGGGAATGTGAATTGGTTCAGCCACTATGGAGAACAGTATGGAGGTTCCTTAAAAAACTACAAATAGAACTACCATATGACCCAGCAATCCCACTACTAGGTATATACCCTGAGGAAACCAGAATTCAGAAAGAGTCATGTACCAAAATGTTCATTGCAGCTCTATTTACAATAGCCCGGAGATGGAAACAACCTAAGTGCCCGTCGTCGGATGAATGGATAAAGAAGATGTGGCACATATATACAATGGAATATTACTCAGCCATAAAAAGAAACGAAATTGAGCTATTTGTAATGAGGTGGATAGATCTAGAGTCTGTCATACAGAGTGAAGTAAGTCAGAAAGAGAAGGACAAATACCGTATGCTAACACATATATATGGAATTTAAGAAAAAAAAATGTTATGAAGAACCTAGGGGTAAAACAGGAATAAAGACAGAGACCTACTGGAGAACAGACTTGAGGATATGGGGAGGGGGAAGGGTGAGGTGTGTTAGGGCGAGAGAGAGACATGGACATATATATACTAACAAACGTAAGGTAGATAGCCAGTGGGAAGCAGCCGCATGGCACAGGGAAACCGGCTCGGTTCTTTGTGGCTGTCTGGAGGGGTGGGATAGGGAGGGTGGGAGGGAGGGAGACAAAGAGGGAAGAGATATGGGAACATATGTATATGTATAACTGAGTCACTTTGTTATAAAGCAGAAACTAACACACCATTGTAAAGCAATTTTACTCCAATAAAGATGTAAAAAACAAAAAAAAACAAGACAAACTTTGCACAATGAGTCTAAGGAAAGAGGGAAACAGAAAACATCACCTTAACTGGCACAACAAAGAGAATCTGGTGCTTTTCCTCAGAAGGCCAGGAAATCATGATACCTTAGCTCAGTGTTTCTCAACCTTGGCACCACTGACATTTGGGACCAGATACTTCTTTGTTTTGGGGAGTGGTCAGCTGTCTTGTTCTTGTGCATTGTGGGATATTTAACAGCATCCCTCACCTTTATCCACTGATTGTCAGTAGCACCCTCCCCAATTTTTGATAACCAAAAACATCTCAAAGACCTTACCAAATGTCCCCTGGAGGGAGATGAGGTATGTAAGAAATCAGCCCCTGTTGAGAAGCACTGTCTTAGCTCATCACTAACATCTCACCCCAAGGCCACATGAATGCAGTCATTGGAGAGAAGGAAGAAAATTAGGATCTGGGTTATCTTGCCAATTAACAAATTTAAGGAAAGAAAGGAAGTGAACAAGAGAGAGGTCACTGTCATTTGCTTACAGCCACAGGGCAACTTAGTGAAAGAGCCAGAAGTGGGATCCAAGTTTCCTGGCTCCAGGCACCCACACTGTGCTGCTAATGGAGATGACAGTGATAATGAATAATGATTCTAAAACTTTAGGAACAACAGCAACAAACTTCAGCAACAGGTTCTACCAGCGCTTTTTTCCACTGCCCCAACTAGGTGTAAAAAATAGCTCACATATTCACACACATATTTGCCTGTCTGTCTTAAACTTGCTTTTTCTTCTCCATTCAGATTAAACTGCTCCCATTGCTTTCCTACAGTCTGCCATTTTTGCATTTTGCTCTTTCCTAGCCCATCCACACACTGCCAGTATCCAGGTCTCCTGCACTAAATTTAGAGGGAGGCTGAATGAGGGAAAAGCTAAGTAGGGTGCGTCAGGGCCATAGGAAACCTGGATAGTCTGTTAATGGCTACTAGACAAGGCTAGCCTTAGATGTTGTCAAATAAGCAGTCACCTGAAGTCTGCCTGGTACCTAGCATTTCACTATTAGAGATGTATTTTTTGGTGAGGACTGTACATTAAATTCTTATTAGTAATTAACACCTGGGTGTATGTGTCTATCAGATCACTGTCCTCTGAGATAACTACCAGAGATCAGGGATCTTAGAGGTCACGTTTATTTTGGAGCAGTAATACTAGAGTATAAGTTGCTGCCCCTGGAAAGCAGACCTGGATAATATTCTTCAATGGGTACTCTGCAGGGAGAAGAAGGTAATGAAAATCAGGGCTGAAAAAAAACAGATATCAACTCTGCCTACTAGCCAATCTTGCTGAGAATAAAACCCTGATGTAGATTGCAATTTGGGGAGTCCCAGGCTAGGTGTTTCAAACGAGTCCCCATTCATAGCCCTAGAGATGGACAAAGGGGAGAAGCTGAGAGTGGATTTCCCCATGAGACAACATCCCCACTACCCACACCCCTGCAAAGCTCCCCAACCTACCCAATCCCAGCAACACCGTCTTACCTCCCACGAACTGTGCGGCTCCCATGCAACGTCCCATCATTCTGGAGATGAGTTCCTCCATGCAGCAGCCTAGGACAGCAGCCAGTGCCACCAGGAGCAGCAGAGCACAGCCGGCACCTGTCACCACTGTGGACATCTGCCAGGCCAGGCTTGGAATGGCATTGAAGCTGGCATAGCGCCCACACTCTTCCACCATGATCAGTCTCTGCCCTTCTCCCCTCACAGGGTAGTTGCACCTCCGGAATGTGCTGAATGACACTGGCTTCCCCAGCTGGGATCCAAAGAGCCAGTAAGGCAGGAAGTAACTGGTAGAACTGGCCACAGCAGTAACAAGGGACAGGAAGGCCCAGAGGGTCCCCGCCAGGGTCAGGCTGCTCCGCATGGTCCCAGGTTTCTCTGCGGGGATGGGGAGATGAGTTGGGTCACAGCACCAAATGTAGAAAGTTATCACGTAGGCTCCATTGGCCTAGTTTTCATCTGCCTGGCCAGTCCTGGGGCTCAGTCATGTGCTTCTTGGCCCTTACTTCTGGATAAGATTATTGTCTCAAGGACCATTTGGGTCCCTATGGGATTCTGCTCTCCAGCACTTTTCCCATCTTCCTTTCCTTCCACCTGATTCAGAGTTCTATGGTCTCTAGGCTGCCATGGAAGAAGCGTAGAACTGAATTAGTGACTGTTCTGCCCACTCCAATGCAGCCTGAGCAGACAGCTTTTAGCTCTTAACATCCAGCATGGAACAAGTGACAGGAGGGAAGCCTGAATCAAACCGAGGCTCTCTGGAGAGCCCCCAACTTCTGGTGGAATGGCCTTGTTGACCTGAAGGCCTGGAAGGAGGCAATATCTCAAGAAGGCCAGGAACCAAGTTGTTTTCAGAGAGTTAAGAAAGAAGGAAGATAACTCACAGGGCTGCCTCTACTCCAAGGGAGAAGAGGGAAGGAGAGCTCACCATGGGGTTAGAGGATGTGCCCAGTTGACCTTGGTAGGATGTCCAGGAGAGCATTAATGTGGGCTTTCATAGTACTACATCAGCTAGGTTAAAATGGGTAAATAAAATAAGGGGTACCTAGTCTCATACCCTTTGCTTATCACTGAGTGAGCACTGTTCAGTCACTTTTTCCCAAAGTCAAAATGGGAGGCACCTTTCCAACCAGTGAGGGTTGTCTAACACTAGGCTGTCTACTAAGAAAACCTGCCTGGTCCTTTGCCGAATAAAGTTAAGAAAGCATCTCATCTCTCTGAAATGGATCAGGTACCCTCTGCCTGGCGTCAGGAACATAGATCTATAGCTGTAAGGGCCTTTCAAGGTGCCTTTTGGAACAAGTCATCTCAGATTCAAGACAGTGAGAGTCTTTTTAGATCTAATCTCCTCAGCCCAGCTCACAGATGGTTTTCACAGACCCCTCTGTCAAAAATCAACCACTTCCCTCCCAACTCCATTAATCTGCCATTGCTTTCTGGCCTGTTTCTCAATGAGGGCAGCCAGAGACCACACTGAAGCTTGCTGACAGCACTGTGAACATCTCCAGCAAGCAGACGGTGGAGTTTGTTTCAGACACTTCTCCATGATTCATCACCACTGCTTAAAGTTACAGGCGGTGGGAGAGGGGTTCAGCGGTGGGGGACTGAATGCACAGGAATTACAGGAACTGGTTATATTGCCAGTTTGGGACATTGTCAGGAGCAAGCAGCAGTTGTACTCAGGGTCTCAAGGAGCTTGTCCAGCCATGAGCTCTGTCATAACCATCATCAAACAGTACCTGGCACAGAGCGGGCACTGCAATCCATATTTGTTTAATGAAACCCATTTTATAGAAACATCCAATTTCCAGGCTGGCAGGGATCTTAATGAATCACCTAACTCAACCTTCTTGTTTTACATATGAGGGAATACAGCCTTGTAAAGGGGGAAATAATTTTCCCCAAGTCACAGAGTAAGTTAGCAAGCAACCACACTGGAATAAGAAACCCAATCTGCAGATTCCTAGGTCAGTACTTTTGTACTACACGGAGCTAATCACCCCCCTGCCCTATCACTTTACAGATGGAAATACGGAGAGGAAATGATTTACCCAAGGGTAAAGAACTAGTGAAGTACACTGGCCGGACTAGAGCCCAGTTATTTGATTCTTAGTATAATGCTCTTTTTTCACTCCACCACAATTCCCCTCCTGATACATATGTATTGTGTGCTATGTGTTTCGTGCAGGAAGGGAGCAGAGATCATAAATTGCAGGTGCTTACTTTGGAATGTTAGGGCTTTGGGAAGAGAGTGCCCTGAGCTGGGCCCCAGGGAATGAGGCTTTATGCCTGGGAGTGGAGGGAATGAGAGAAAGATGTGATGAGGGATTGAAAGCCAACAGGAGGAGAAGTGGAACTAGTTTTGAGTAATTGCTGTTAGAAAGCAGGTACGCTTGGACGCAATGAGGTAATGCCTCTGCTTGCTATATTAGAGCATGTAAGATTATGGAAAATGCAAGCAGCCCTCTTTTATGAACTTACTTCTTGGTGAAGAAGCCCAGGCCAGAGGATGAGAGGAAACAAGCTGATAAACAGCTGCTGGCTGTAGCATCATATTCCCTTCCAAGTCCATTATTTCATGTGCTCTGCCCAACAATCTTCTTAGGTTGGTAAGAAAGGTACGAATAGTACCCCCAGTTTACAATGAGCAAATTGAGGTCAGAAAGCTAAGTGACTTGCCCAAGGTTACACAGTGATTCAATGGCAGAGCCATAATTTCCCACTTCTCCTTCACCTGCAATTTTCCCCCATATTCTTCCTCATCACCCCAAAACTGTCTCAATGAAAAGCCTCCGTGGTTTCCCACCCATGATGCCAAAACTGTTTAAGGATGGCAAAAGAATTAGAGGGGAAGGACAGGGAAGGTAGGAGGAAGGCCACTTTCTCTAAGCAGCATGTAACCGTTAGGACCCAGGTATTCACTGTTTCAAGTTTGTGGTCAGAACTAACCCCATATGTCCCCCACAAATGTCATCACCTTGAGATCAGAATTACCAGTATGACAGCCAGTAGAAGGGCAGAGAGCTTAAGGCAGAGAAAGGGACCATATCAGTGAGTGGTACCTACAACTATACTAAAATAGGAGGAGGGCTTCTGACATAAGGTTATCACCATCTGTGACAAAGCAGGATGTTTAAAAAACTACAAGACCGCCAACCACTGTTACCATAATTTCATTTTTAACAAATGGCATTTCGAAGCCAAGAGGTAGGAAGGCAGAATTACAAAGTTCCTTTTAGATAAAATAGGTTTAGCTTTAGAAAAACTCATTGGCCTTCAGAATTTAAATACTTTCAAATTCAGGAAAAACTCATTGTCCTTATTTCATTTAGAATGAGGATGTCCAATCATGCTAGTTCACTTGGGACTGAAGGATGTGGGACTGTCAAGGATGAAACTAGGAAAGTCCCAAACTTGGATGGGTTAGTCATTCTCTTTAGGACTAGAAGTGTGGTGAGTCAGCACTATCCATGGACAGCAGGTTGAGAATCACTGCCACAGATAATTTTTTCATGTTATCTCTCCAGGACCTAAACAATATAAAGTTAAAAGTGACCATGGAATTAAATAATGGAGAGATGAAATCTTTATATTTTGAAGGTAAACCTTTTTGAATCATAGGCTTGACTTCATGTAGTCAAGAAAGAGAGGTCAGGAATCCAGTTGCTCAATATTTTCTGTTCACAAAATAAGCCCCAGCCCAGCTTCTCCTGTGGCCAGATAAGGAGGCAATGGGCCATGTGGAGTCTGAATGTACATTGCTACATGCTCACATGTACAGACAGGGAAGTGCATTCAAGCAAATGCTTTGAATTACTGCACCACCTGCAATGGAGTAACCTCCCTTCATGACAGCCCTCCAAAGCAATCCAAGTTCATTCCCAGGGGCTATCCAAGTCTCTTTACATTCACATTAATAAAAGTCACACACAATGCTATACTTCACTCTATCTTTATTCCTCTTGTGTATTTCATGTAGCAATCGCTTTGTTTCCCTGTCCTGGAATGCCTAGCCACAGAGCCACACTGGATTTCAGAAACCAAGAACTCACCCTGGTGCTCCTGCTAAGTGGTCCAGTAACCAGGTATTGATAGGATTGCTGTTGACCCCCTCTCTTTGGTTACATAGTCCCTCACCCTTAGTTGCTCTGTCTCCTAAATGGGTCACATGCCTGTTTCTGAGAGCAGTTGTATGAGATGCAGTGAGTGTGGCTAGAAAGTTATAACGAGCAGGGTAGAAGTATGAGGTCTGTTCCAAATTTGTTGTTCTTACTAAAGACTAGTGGTAAAGATACAGTAGTCATTCTAACACAGACTCATGGATAGAGGTGATTTCAACCTGTAAGATGCAGGAAACCCAACTAAGCCATACATGTCAAACAGTTATCTATATTGCTTTCAAAGAACTCTAGAGAAGAGAACTCTACAATTTTTCTCAGTAGCTTGATAACTCTCACTGTCAATAAATCATTTGTTACATCTCATTTTAAACCGTTTTCTGGTGCAACTTAAGGCCAGTTACTTTGGTCGGGGCCTCAGAGGGAATGGAGAACAGCTTGGCCACTGTCCTCCAGACGAGAGCCCTTCATCAACACAGATTAATTCAGATTGCTGGTAGGTTACCTTTAGACTTTTTCTCCCCAAATGAGCACTCCACCTCTCCCTGTGGTGTCTCATTGCCAAGACTGTAATCATTTGTTCTCACCTTTTCACTCCCATGTGTACCTACTCATATGTGGGCACTTAGTTAGTATCAGTGAAACTGGAAACATTGCTCTTATATTTTTCTTGGTGGAGAAAAACAAACCAAATTCTTCCAATACCTTACCTCCTCCCCAGTCCCCACAGAAAAAGACTCAAATCCTTTTGTTCCCACTCAAGCTTGTCATACAACTTCTGGGTTAAGGACAGTGCTATCTTGGCTAACAGGGTCCGGGTAAAGAGGCCAACGAGTTAATGACCAGAATATGAAGTGGTCAGAAAGGGAGTCTCTGACTTGCACCTGCTGAGGAAAATGTGACCGCAACACTACCGGTTTTGGACTGCTTTGTGAAGAGCAGCTTTGTTGGCAAAGGAATACGAACGGACTTTCTCCTCACGCCCCTAGACTGTGCGCATAGCCTACCTGCCAACCCTTTTACAGATACATCATGCTCAGTGTTGAGACTTTAGGAGATAAGCAATATGCACAGGCATATGGTTCCAGTGGGTAAATAGAGTCCTACTCCAGAGAAATGTCTTGCCATTGTATCAAATTGGATATATAAGCAACCTGACCATTCTAGATCTTTCTGCTTCAGACGCAGCCTCAAAAAGAATCTATGACCACTTCCCAAACATTTCTCTCTTTATTTTCTGCCACCTGGGTTCCACAGAAGTTTCTCCTCCTCTGTACATCTCCACAATTGGAGTGTCTCCAGGTTCTCCTGTGCCTGAAATCATCTCATGATTTATCTACTCCCAGAACTTTGTTTCCCATTTGCATCCCGGTGACTTGAAGAAGACCTCACTTTTTGTAAGCTTTATTGAGGTATAATTGATATATGAAAACTTGTACATATTCAGTGTATACATCTCTCTGAGTTTGGACATATGCCTACATCTGTAACACCATCACCACAGTCAAGGTACTAAATATATTCATAAACTTCAAAAAGTTCCTTGTATTGTTTTGTGGGTTTGTGTGTGTGCTAAGAACACTTAACATGAGATCTATCCTCGTAATGAATTTTGAAGTGCATATTGTTAACTATAGGTACAAAGTTGTACAGAAGATCTCTAGAAGTTATTCATCTAGCGTAATTGAAATGTAAACCTATTGAGAAACAACTCCTCGTTCCCCCTCCCTCCAGCTCCTGGCACCCACCATTCTACTCTATGCTTAAGAAGACCTTGCTTTCAGTCTAAGTCTTGTCTGTCAAATCCTCAGCTTTCTTGTTTGCTGATTGTCTTTCTTTTCCTTTTTTTTTTTTTTTTTTTTTTTTTTTTT